ACCCAGAGAACATTTGCCAAGGCATTCCCTTTGTCTGGCCCTTGCCAACCATGTTGGTTGTTACTAAGACCTCCTTGATAGGTTATGGGGAACACCTGGGGGTCTCTGAAAATACAGGGGCTGTGGTCGGAATAAGAGGTCTCACTCTATACCAACATTCTGGAGCTTCAGGCCACCTACAGTGCATGCCATACTTCTCAGGACCACATCGGAGACTCAGTAGTTCACAAAGTTACCGACAATTTTGCTGTAATGTACTATGTGAACAAACAAGAAGGAGCACACTCCAGGTTGCTTTGTCTAGAAGCGATCTGGCTGTGGCAGTTCTGCATTGAGGAAAACATTACTCTGATAGCCATTCTCTTGCCCGAGTTTCAGAATCATCTCGCAGACCATCGCATCAGGTATTTTTCCTGAGTCATGAGTGGTCTCTGAGGACAAATGTACTCTGGGTCATCTTCACAGTTTGGGGCATCCCAGCAATAAACTTGTTTGCTACAAGGGATAACAGGAAATGTCAGTTCTGCTTTTGAGGGGGCCTCAGTCCAATGCTTTCCACCTCAGCTGGCAGTCAGCTGTTCTGTATGCCATTCCCCCAGTCATGCCTCAGGTCAATCTCAAGCTCAAGGTGGATTGGGCCAAGCTCATTATCATTGCCCCTGCGTGGCTGAGGCTGAGCTGGTTCTCCTACCTTCATGCACTGTCTGTTCAGCATCCCAAACCACTTCCTTACCATCCCAACTTACTCAGAACCAAGGCCACTCCTTACGTCCTATCTTCAGCTCCCTGCATGTCATGGCATGCTGCTGCATGGCTGAATAAAGAGGAAGAGCGGTGTTCGGATGCTGTCCAGCAAGTCCTCCTTAACAATAGAAATCTCTCCACCAGGATGGCCTATTCAGTGAAATGGAAGAGATTTTTGGTGCGGTCATTAGTTGCGCAATACAAACATTGCTGGTCTCTATTCAGGACATTTTGAAGTACTTGCTGTGCCTTCAATCGTTGGGGCTTGCATTTAGTTCATTGAAACTGCATCTGGCAGCAATATTGGCATTTCATCCCCCCATTCAGGAAAGATCCGTCTTCTCCAATGCCATGCCATCATATGCAGATTGCATGAAGAGTCAAGAGGTCTCTTTGCAGACAGTCTCCAAATGCATATGAAATAGCTTTGGCTCTGCCTCCTCAGCGGGTGAGAGTTCATTCTATGAGGGCACAAGCAGCATCCATAGCATTTCTCAGAGACCTTTCTGTATCGCACATTTGCACGGCTGCTACATGGTCATTGATACATACATTCACAAACCGTTACGCCATAACTGCTTCTTCCAGGGGGATGCAAGGTGAAACGGTCCTGCAGTCTTGGTTTAGGTAGACTCCAAGCCTTGCCTCCTAGGGGCGGAGGGGACGGTTTGTAAGTCACCTATGTGGAATATACAGCTGCAGCTACTTGAAGAAGAAACAGTTACTTACTGTAACTGTGGTACTTTGGAGATGTGATGCAGATGTGTATTCCACGACCCACCCTCTGTCCTCTCTGCATTGGAGTCTCATTTCTGGGCATTTTGGGGTGAAGGAACTGAGAGAGGGTCAGGGCAGAGCTGCCTCATGTAGCCAAGTGAGGAGCTGTAGCCATGAGGTGTGAACGCCACCCCTCTACGGGTACTGCTACATAAATTTCTCCAGCTCCAGTGCACTGGGCACGCACACATCTAAGTGGAGTACAGGTCTGCATCACGTCTTGAAGAACCACAGTTACATTAAGTAACCGTTTCTTCCTTTGTTGAGCATAGACTTGTTTAACAACTTGAGCCTTGTCACAGCTGTGTGGGTTTGAACATGTGCTAACAAACATCATACAGGGGGTATTCCTAACTTTACATATAATGTTGCCACGTAAGTTATTAGCTTTCAAATGATACCTCACAAGGCATATGTTGTACTCTCTCTCTCTGGACCAAATAATATTTAAGTATTTATACAAAGTGGAAAAATTTCAACAGGAGAGATTGAAAGAGCTCCCCCCTAGAATAGCCCGGTGATTAGGACACTTACCTGGGATGTGGGATACTTGGTTTTAAGTCCCTGTTACAGACTGGGAAAATTAACCTGAGTCTCCTAGAATGCTGAGCCCTGGCACCTCTAAGATTGGCAGTTCATAGCCCCAGCACCTCTGGGCTTGCTGCAGTTATTAAAGTAAAAAATTGCTTGAGTCCCAGCATGCAATTGCTTGAGCCCCAGCATCTCTTTTATTACAAATTAAGCACTAGTCTTTTGCATACCAGGTGAGTGCCTTAACCAATGGGTTATTAGGTACAAAGGGATACCACCTCCTCCCCTTTTCTGAATGGCACCTAAATCTCCTTGAGAATCTAGCTCGGGGGAAAAAAAATTTGGCTGAAACTATTTGATGAATTTGTGTCAAAATCATGAATAGTTTAGAGTTGACTGAAACTGCATTCTTTTCAAATACACTATTCAGGAAAAAAAATTTGCCCAGTCTTAGTGAGACCTTTCATCATTAGATAAATGTATGACAATCTGTCCCTTGCATTGGTATCTTCCTAATTTGGTAGTTAATTGTTTTAAGGCCTTGAAGCATGAGGTTTAATATCCCTTCCATAATTTTTGTTTTTATCTATGCTAACTCTTTTAAATCTTAAATTCTTTGTCTGATTGTCTTCCTGTAGTAATCAGTTCCAAGGTTCAATCACTTGTGTTAAAAATTGTTTCTTTTGTTTGTTTGTTTGTTTGTTTGTTTGTTTGTTTTACGTTCTCATCTTTTAATTTCATTGGATGTTCCCTTGTTTTTGTGTTATGAGACAGGGTGAATAGAAGTTCCCAATCTACCATCTCTGTCTATACCATGACAGGACTAGAAGGGATCGCCCAGGTCACTGAGTCCAGTCCCCTGCTATCATAGGCAATACCTCTTATAATTATGTTCATAAACTTACAACGATCCATCTTAAAACTAGTTAGTTTGTTTGTTCCCACAACTCCTGTTGGAAGGCTATTCCAGAACCTCGCTCCTCTGATGGTTAGAAAACTTCTAATTTACAGCCTACGTTTATTCATGGCTAGTTTATACCGATTTGTTCTTGTGCCAATGTTGTCCTTTAGCTTAAATAACTCTTCTCCCTCTCTGGTATCTACCGCCCCTTGTGTATTTATAAGGAGTAATCATATTCGTTTATCTTTCAAGTGTGAAGAAAATCAGTCCAGTAGTTTTTAAATGAAGAGTGCTTAAAGTTGGCATTTTCACACATGTGGTTTAAAAATTTTTGGATTTTGGCTGCCCCCAAGTCAGTTAAATGAGAGTCATTTATAGATGTGCTGCAATTTAGTAGCACTTTTACTTTTTTTTTTTTAATCTGAGTACATGTGTGGAGATTTATATGTAAAACTGGAGCTGAGAACTAAGGGCCTGAACCAAACCTGTTCAAGTCAATAGAGTCACCATTGACTTCAATGGGCTTTGGATCAGGCCTGAACTCAGGAACTTCCAAAAGTTAAGGCTTCAATGAAGCATTAACATAGTCTGTATTGTTCGATGTAGCTTAAGAATCCAAAGAACTAGTTAATAGCTGTTTACATTTAACCATGAAAATGGCACTAAAAAGGACTACATAGGTGTATAGCTAACCCTGAAGGAGATACCTTAACTCTTGGAATTCCCAGACCTTTGAACATTTAATTTTATATTAATACTAATTGTATATTTAACTAATTGCATTTTCTAAAAGTTAAACCCACTGAGCAAGTGTTATAAACCAGAAATGTTCAAAAAGAGTTTTCTCTGTCATTGTGTGTCTGAATAGTCTCTTATTTTTCTGCCCTCTTTATGGTTATTGTGTATACTACAAATTCTGCATAGAAATTCTGCAGTGTTGTGGAATTTGCCTCTAGCATGATGTTCTTCAGAAAAACCTTCCCTGTCCTGCTTGGAGGTGCATAAAACCCTCCCTTGAGAGCACAGGTAGTGCATTGATAGATGCTGTGTTTGTACTGCTTGGACATAAACTGGGAGCATTGCACTAGCCTCAGGAGTGCTTCCACTCTTCACTTTTCTGCTTACCTCTGTGTTCTTGAGAGAGAGATTCTGCACACTTTGCCAGGGCCATGTCAGAACAAGCAGGGCCAGATTTTTTTTGTTCAGCCAGACAGATTTGGGAATGCTTTGTAATCATATCTATCAGTGTTGGATTTGCTGGGTCCTCCTATGGAAGAGTCACTGCTTATCACTAGGAAATCCACCAAAATAGATCCATATTGTAATCCCTTACTTCCCCCTAAAACTCAAGCAAGCAAATTATGTCAGTACCCCGTGAAGCAATACTGAACGGGTGTGGGAGGGAGATGTAAAATAAGAGTCATGAATGAAACAATTAGCAGGACGTCTGTGGAGTCTATATGGCAATTTCTTAAGATTAATATGGATATAGATAGGTTATGCTTGCTAGAAGCCAGCGAATGAAAAGAAACTTGAATGTTTTGCCAGTCTGTCATGCTGCCCCAGAATTGTCCTGCTACTACATTAGTGTTGCTTTGCTGCACAGTTGTGGAAGAGGAAAGTAGCTGCAGAATACACACGTCGGGTTATGCATCTGTTAAGCATAGAATGCAGTATATGTGGCAGTAGGGGAAGTGTGTTGTATAGTGGGTAGACCAAGGAATTTGATGTCAGGACTGCTTGGTTCTTTTCTTGGCACTATCACTTACTAGCTTACCTTGGGCAAGTACCTTGACCTCTCTGTAGTTCAGTGGCTACATCTTTAAAATGGGTATTATTTAGAATACCAACCTCCCAGGGGATGTTGAGGTTTACTAATTAGTGTTTCCCTAGAGTACTTTATCATCAGAGAGAGTATCTCCTTTTTAAACATTGTTAAAATCATCGAGGTAGAGTTCAACGTTTGGGTGGGAAAAAGGAAGTAGCAGTTTTGAATTAATCATAGTAAAATTTATTTTATCCTCTCTTTTCCCTTCTCCTTCTGCAGAGTTGGTTAATATGTGAGGAGCCGACTTGCCAGAATCGAACCCGTCGCCTTCCCCTCAGTTTCTCCCAGAATGGTGCTTTATGTCAGGCCTGTAAGAAGGCTATCCTCAGACCTGAAGTAAGTACCAAAAGCATCACCCTAATACAGTGGTGTACACTTTGTGACCCAGGGGTTCCCTGAAGCTCTGAAAAGACTAAATGTGGCCCTTGAAGACAACTGTATTAAGAAGAAAATGTTATATGATTAAGCGAAAATGTGTTTCTTGAGCTATGCACTGCCAGCTTTAAACTGTTTGTATCAGCCTCATTGCTGTGGACTGGAAGTAGAGGGTTTTGCCTCCCATTGCTTTCCCTGCAGCCACAGGAGCAGCTCTGGAACGTTCAGAGCAGTTCCTTTCCCTCTTGCAGCTTCTCAGCAGTTCCCCTGCTGGCCACCTCCTGCATCACAGGACGAAGGAGAGTAGGCGTTGGCTACTCTGTTTTCTGCTTCCAGATTGCAAGAGCCCCAGGGAGAGCAGGCTAGGAGCTTGCTTGACTCTGCCTAGCAAAAAGTGGCTGTTCGTCTCTATGCAGTCATTCAGGAACTCCAAGAGAGAGATAAAGGAGAAGCTGCAAACCAGCAACTAATTACAGTTCCTTGATTTTTGCATCTTAGTACTAGAGAAGGCTAACTTGCACTTACTGGCTCTGATCCCCAAGGGACAATATGGCACTAGGGATAGCCAGGTCATAGTGCAGTCCAGCCACTCTAGCTCCCCTGACATGCCCCTCTCAAGCCCTAAAATATCACTTGCACAAGGAGCTGCTGGAGGGAGGTCCAGGAGCCTGCTCTCTGCACACTACCTGAGCAGTGCAGTAGGAGGAAAACAGGGTGGAGAATCTGACCAAAATTATTGATTGTAGGCCCCTTGGCCTTTTAAAAATACTGTGTTCAACCCTTCAGCTGAAAAGTTTGGACAGTGCTGCCATAAAATATGGGAAAGTATGCATGCTACAGTACTGAAAGAGCCATCAAACTCCAAGGTGAAGAGAACAGGGAATTTTAGTTCTCCTGTAGTTGTGTTCCATCTTAAGTAGTGTAGATCTGAATACTTTATTATGCTCACATGTAGATAAAAAATAAATGTTTAATTTTGTCATGAGTGAGTGGGCAGAGAAGGGTTTAACAGCATCTCTGTATGAGGTTGCAGAACTAGAATGAGTTCATTAGAAAAGTGATGGGAGGATCAAGGGTCTGGAAAAACTTGACATGAGAAGCTATTGAAAAGATTGGGATTGTTTGTTAGAAAGGATAGAGAGATGAAGGGACATAAGAAAATGAAGAATAGTGAATAGTTCAGAGAAGGTGGATTGGGAACGTCTGTTCTCCATGTCCCATAGCACAAGAGCAAGGGGAAGTTCAATGAAATTGTAAGGTATGAGAAAGTCAAAACCAATAAAAGGAAATACTTCTTCACATGTGATGAAACTGGAACTCATTGCTCAAGAAATTAACACAGATTCAAAAAAGTAATTAAATAATTCATAGAATCATAGATTCATATTGATATAGATGTCACGAATTTCTAGCATTTTTATAATTAAATACAACAAAAAACATTGTAAGGGATCTTAAACCTCATGCTTGAGACCTTAAACCTATGGTGAGGACAGATTATCCTATACCTGCCTGCTGTGGAGTTCTTA